GCTCGAGGGTACTGAGCTAGTTGAGATCACTAAGGAGAAGGTGAAAGTTATCCGGGATAGACTAAAGGCTGCCCAAGATCGGCAGAAGAGCTATGCAGATAAACGACGAAGGACATTGGAGTTCGAGGTCGGCGATGAGGTATTTCTGAGGGTGTCGCCTTGGAAAGGGATCATCAGGTTCCTTAGTCGGGGTAAGCTTAACCCACGCTACATAGGCCCATTCAAAATCATCGAAAGAATTGGGGTTGTAGCGTACCGACTTCAGTTAACTCCAGAATTAGAAAAGATTCATAACGTATTTCATGTTTCCATGCTCAAGAAGTATGTACGGGACCCGTCACATATTCTTGAGAAACCACCGGTAGAAATCCGGGAAGACCTTCACTATGCGGTGCAGCCGGTAAAGATCATGGACCGGCAAGTAAAGAAGCTAAGGAGTAAAGAGGTACCGATGGTGAAGGTGCTTTGGAAGAGTGATCGTGTCGAGGAGCAAACTTGGGAAGTGGAGACCCTGATGAGGGAACAGTATCCATTTCTATTCGACTAGACACGTGGATTTCGGGGACGAAATCCCAAATAAGGGGGGGTAGAACTTGTAACACCGCCCCCAAGTATTTGTACTTTATCAAATTATGTATTGAACCCGAGAAATGAATAAACGCATTTTACGTGATTGTGAATTTTTTATCATTTCTTCTACGTGAATAGTAAAATTCACGTGGGGCCCACACCGGAAGTGGGGGCCGCCGATATGTTCGGGACCACATATTATATTCATTTGGGTCAAGGTAACATGTGTATAATGGTGGACATCCTTGTTGGACCATATAAATTATGTGAGTAACCGTTTGGGCATATAAAGCCCATTTATCGGTACTGAAGGAATATCAGATAAAAGGGCCATAATAAATTATGGAGACCGCCAAATTAAAAGTTGGGGAATATACATTCATTCTTATAGCCAATAATAATTGGAAGAACGAGAGATATTTCATTTTACCCGATAAGACGAAATATAGTTCAAACAGTCCGGAAAATACAACTTTCGGGGCCGAATGTACACTCGGGAACACAAAGGGATGACCACCCATTAAAGTGGGGGCCACCCCACGACTTTGTCTTTCAAATATCAAGGTGAGCTGCACCATTGGACTGCTGTGAAGTGTTGAGGGGACTTGGAGACAAAGGGTGAAAGCTAAGGGGACCCTCACCCATATTATTGGTGAATAAGCCAAATTGAGTATCTCCCTCAATCCCCTAACCCATATGCTCGACCTACCTAACATACAAGAGTAGGAAGCTCTGCAAAAGACTCCATTTTATCACCCATACACGCACCAAGCTAAGGGAGAAGAAGGAGGAGAAAAGAGAAGAGAAAAGAGGAGCTTCGGGTGGGAAAACTTGTGGTTAACGAGGTAATGACTTCATTAATCCCATTCCTTCTCCATAATCACGTTTCATACTCCTGGGATAGTTCTACACATGTAAAAGTGTAGAATGGGAGTTGGAGAGTTGGTCTAAACCCAAAACGAACTTTGAGAGCAAAGTTGACGGGTTTGCCGGAAAATAACCTTTTAGAGGTTATTTGTATTGATATGGGTTTTATGATGATAAAACCTTGTTAATAACTTGTATAAGGTGTTTCAAGAACTTTCAAGGAGTTGAAGGGGTCGCCGGAGTTGTCGCCGGAGTTCATTGAAGTTCACCGGAGTTTCACCGGAGCTCAATCGGGAAGGGCTAGAACTCCATAAGCTTCATTAAGGTGAGAAGACGGCTATATGCTTTATAACTTTTGATTGAGGCATGAGATTACCTAAAGTAATCAAGGATATGTTTTACGGAATGATTAAAGTTAATCAAGTATGGGCTTATGCCATGAATATATATAAAACAAAGTTGAAAGGCATGTTTGTATGTTTGGTGATTAAAAATGTGATAACTTATTATGTACAATGATCCAGGGGTCAAAAATGGTATTTTTGGATCAAGGACTTCAAGTAGAATGTGCATATAAAATTTCACGTTAATCGGACTTCGTTTGGGCGGTCAAACGGGCGTTGACCGCCGAGACAAGGGTGATACCCGACCGGGTAAGATGGATACCCGACCGGGTATTGATTAAATTCGGCTCCAGAAGCTACTGTCACACTAGACCCGACCGGGTAAGGTCAGGGACCCGACCGGGTCTCAAGTAAAGTCAGTTCCAGGGGCTTCTGCCCGGCCCTACCCGACCGGGTAAGGTGGATACCCGACCGGGTATTGGTTTATACTCAAAACGGGTAGCTTTTGAGTAGGATAACGTGGACCGATCAGGTGGGACCCGTCCACATTGGTTACTAAGGATTATTATATGACTATAGGACTAGGTATTGTCCATAGTTAAGTGAATGCAAGGTTAGCCATATCCAGGTTAGGGTTTGGTTAGAAATACGGCTGAGGTTGAGCATCCTCGGGACGGTAAACAATCCCAGAAACTCGGTGAGGTTGAGTATCCTCGGGACGGTAAACAATCCCAGAAACTCGGTGAGGTTGAGCATCCTCGGGACGGTAAACAATCCCAGAAACTCGGTGAGGTTGAGTATCCTCGGGACGGTAAACAATCCCAGAAACTCGGTGAGGTTGAGTATCCTCGGGACGGTAAACAATCCCAGAAACTCGGTGAGGTTGAGTATCCTCGGGACGGTAAACAATCCCAGAAACTCGGTGAGGTTGAGTATCCTCGGGACGGTAAACAATCCCAGAAACTCGGTGGGGTTGAGCATCCCCGGGAGGGTAAACACTCCTGAAACTCGGTAGGATATTATGAAGGTAGAATGTAGCCCGTGAGCATTCAGGAATGAATGGGAAAGGTTGGGTAATCGCCATACCTCTAAAAGACTCTTTGTGATAAAACGACCTACGGGTCAAGTATTTTACAAGTATATACAGTATGTATTATCTTGGGAATGGGGTAACAATGGTTACACCTATAAGCATATGTATCACCCTATTTTTGGGTCTCGTGTCTGAAACATTAGTTATTCCTCATATAGCCTGCTTGTCACTAGTACTTCTATGGAGTACTGACCCCTTCAGGGGCCCTCACATTTTTCAGGTTGAGGCTAGAGTCCTACTACCTGCACCTTTGCCTAGGGTGATTGATCAAGGAGGAAGACGTGGTTCGTGCTTCCATTCTCATTTGAAATAATGCAACTGCTCATGGATATTTTTAACAATGTTTTCTATTAAAACATTTGGGGGCCTGCGTGCCCGTATTTGCCACGTGTGGCTAAGTATCAAACATATCTTATTTTCCGCATTTGTTTGACTAATATATATTGATGTTGATTGTATGGGTTTACTAATCGGCTTGGCAATAGAACTTAACGGACGCCTTGTATGATTTGATAAGGATGAACTATGTTGTTCTTATTGGGTTGTACGGCGGTTGTCTACGTGGCACGGACGCGGTCCGGGGCGTGACACTTTCACTGTGATTGGGAAACTAGTTTAGAACTAGTATAAATACAATGTTTCCAAGAAGCGCCTCGTTTAACGTCGCGGCACGACGCCATCATTATGTTCAATCGTTCAAGCTTGGATGGTGATAATTCATCTTCTTCACATTTTCACTCCTAGGACTTACATAGGAATGCTCAATTTTCCGACTCTTCACTTTGAAAATCTTTCCAGGATCAAATATCCAGATTTTCATTGATTCATGTGGAAGGGAGGGGAAGAAACTATCGTTTAGCATGGTCAATGAAAAGTTTTTCGACCCCTCAATTTTGAAGAAGATTTCGGAAATGTCATTGTCCTTTTCAAGTTTATGAGTTTCTCTTAAAGCTTCCAGAAATGATGGAGATACCTCAAAGGATGACAATGACAAAAATTTGAATTTGAAGCTCGGCTTATCCTCTTCTTTGACCAGTTGGAGCTCCGTATCTTTTACTTCTTCTACTTCTTCTGGATTCTGGATCTCCTTTTGCATTTCCTTTTCATTTGTCAATGTGATTGCAAAAGTTTGCTGTTTAGGATCACATTCTATTTGAGAAGGAAGTTTTTCCGAATCCCTTGCTTCAAGCCTACTCACGGCTCCGGCTATTTGACTCATTTGAGTTTCCAAGTTTAAAATGCTAGACTTGGTCTCATTTTGGAATTGCACCATGTTGTTTTGCATGGTGGTCATGTTGGTAGCAATAGCCCGGACCATATCCTCCGTAGACATGTTAGAGTTGGAGAACGGATCATACCTCATTTGAGGTACATCCCTTTCGTAACCAACCTCATCAATTTATTCAAGGTATTCATCTTGGAGCTTTGGGCAGAAATCCGTTAGATGCCTGTGAGACATGCAAATGTTGCATGTCTTGGCATCTTGAGCTTTTGAGCTTAAGATAAATTCATTTATTAGAGAGGTCAAGAAGGAAATTTGACTCTCTAAGGATGAAATGTTGGTATCCATACACTCATAACTCATGTAAGCTCAGAAAATAGAAGAGTAAGTTTTTTTTTATGTTTTTTTTATTATTTTTTTTTGTTTTTGATTTTTATGAGATAAAATAAAAAGAAAAATAATTGCCTTTCCCCGGCAACGGCGCCAAATTTGATATTAAATTTCTCCTGGGCAGTCAAATTTCTTGTTTTATTCTCTTCAAAGTCCTCTTTTCCAACACCATAAATCCTAAATCTATTTTACAACTTATAAATGAAGATTAAAATACAATTACAACTAAAATAAAACAAATGTTTACAAACTAAATAAAACGATAAATAATACACACAAATCAAACATAAAAACATACGCTTATGCACTACTAATTAGTGCATATCATAAGCTTTGAGAACATCAAAATGACCAAACTCCTCAACAAAAATAGATCCACAATTCACAATTCTCTTACTATGTAATCTCTTTCCCCCAAGTACATTGCAATTTTAGTTGGGCTAATCACCACATAAAAGAGACAAGTACAACTAGATGAAACCCTTATAAATAACCCATAAGCCCGCTCCACAATTTCTACCAGCATATTCTTCGGCTTTGGGTGGAAGAATATTAGCAAGCAAAAAGAGGGGAACGCGAAGAAACTGGCGTTGTAAAAATTATTCAGAGTTAGGGTTTTCTATCTAAGTTAGGTGCTCCTACAATTTCAGTTAAATTCCTGTATCCTATCTTACTTTCTCAAAACCAAAGGTGTTGATAGCTCGAAGCGATCTCGCTTTCCGGAGATTGTGTTTGGGTTGAGCTTAAATTGGGAAAGATCGGGTTTTGTGATTGGGAAATCCAGGACAATTGAGTTCTTGAAGATGCTATCAAATTCTGCATAGGAAAGTGCCTGATCGCCTAATAATTGGCGAGCTGTTTCGATGTTTTAAGGCGTTTTATAATTTGTATGGAAACTCGTAGCCGGAAGCGGGCGGAGGCGAACTCTTCAGCGCCCTCTTCTTCTTCTGGCCCCACCACCCGCGCAGCCAAGCGAGCCCGTCTCTCCCTCGCCTCTCCGGCTACATCAAATACAGCTACCACCGCTGCCTTCAATTTAGCGTCGATCTCTTCTCGTACCCGCATAGCTACTCGTTCTCAAGACTCGTTAGCATCTCCTGCACAGATGGACTCCACCAATGAATCTTCTGGTTCCGCTTCTCGCAGCCGCCGTTCGAAGAACCCTAGTCATGCACCAGATAAGGATAATTCTGATAAAGGGAAGGAGAAAGAACATGAAGTTAGAGTAAGGGATAGAGACAGGGACTCCGAGAGAGGCATCAGGTTGAACATTGATTCCGGTGCGGGTGAAGAGGACGACAATGACAGCGAAGGTGGTGCTGGAATGTTGCATCCAACTTTCACATCGGCTAGTAGTGCTCTTCAGGGGTTGCTAAGGAAACTGGGAGCTGGATTGGATGACCTCATTCCAAGCTCAGCAATGGGATCAGCGTCATCATCACATCAAAACAGTCGATTAAAGAAGATTTTGGCAGGACTGAGAGCAGAAGGTGAGGAAGGGAAGCAAGTTGAGGCTTTGACACAGCTTTGCGATATGCTTTCTATAGGAACTGAGGATTCACTCAGCACTTTTTCTGTGGATTCTTTTGTTCCTGTGCTGGTTGGATTGCTTAATCATGAGAGCAATCCAGATATCATGCTACTAGCAGCCCGTGCATTGACCCATCTTGTTGATGTTCTGCCCTCCTCTTGTGCTGCCGTTGTGCATTATGGTGCAGTTTCATACTTCGTTGCTCGCCTGCTCACTATTGAATACATGGACTTGGCAGAACAGGTTAGATTGCCATATAAGTTTGTTACGAAGGCATTTTGTTAATGCAATCATTGTAACTCACAATTGCGGTTTCAGTTTTCCATAGCAGTAGGCTACTCCAGATAATGTTATGTGTCAATGTTTTATCAAGTGGATTATTAAATCATTTAACACTTGTCCTTTTGCTTCTTAAATGTAAAATGCCAGTCTTTACAAGCTCTAAAGAAGATATCTCAGGAGCACCCCACTGCTTGCCTGAGGGCTGGTGCACTTATGGCTGTGCTTTCCTACCTTGACTTCTTTTCCACGGGAGTTCAGGTAGCAATTACCTGAAAGTAGTTCATATATAATGACTCTTTTAATTGGAACTGTTTCAACTATAATCTTTTCTCTTTTATGCAAATTTATCGTTTGACTTTTTGTCCTCTGCCAGCGAGTTGCCTTGTTTACGGCTGCAAATATGTGTAAGAAACTCCCATCTGATGCGTCTGACTTTGTAATGGAAGCTGTGCCGTTATTGACAAACCTCCTTCAGTATCACGATGCAAAGGTGATGTATTTTATCTGTTGTTTCCTTCCTGGAGTTATTATTATCTGCAGTGATGATGTAACGTAAATGGTGCTTCCTTCCCTGGTATTAATTCTTCAGTCTGTTTCTTCTTTCCTGGATTTTAAATATAATATACTTCTTTTCTTGTATATAGGTTCTAGAACATGCTTGCATCTGCTTGACTCGGATTGCGGAGGCATTTGCATCATCCCCGGAGAAGTTGGATGAACTATGTAATCATGGACTAGTTAGGGAAGCAGCTTCCCTGGTTTCCTCTAGCAGTTCTAGTGCTGGTCAGACATCAGTCAGCACCTCTACATATACAGTAAGTATACCCTCTTGGCTTAAGTAACTAGACTTTTTTGTGTGCTACATGTTGACATGATATGTTTTACAGGGCTTGGTTCGACTTCTCTCAACATGTGCTAGTGGTTCTGTCATAGGGACAAAAACTTTGCTGCACCTTGGTATCAGTGGTATTCTTAAAGAAATTCTTTCAGGATCTGGCAACAGCACACTTTCAGTTTCACCTGCCTTGAGTAGACCACCTGAGCAGGTATGCAATGCTCTGATATACACATTTCAGCACAACATTTTGAACTTAGCGTGGGACATAATATGAATCGGCTTCCGATACAAGAATTGTGCCTAATTGAAATTGATCTAAAATTTAGGAAGATGCATGGAATTTTGAATAACCAGTAACCAAAAAAGCATATTGTTAAAAAGTACTCTGTACTTGATCTCTCTGCTTCTGCACTGACCAATTAAACGTGTTTCCTTCCCTTCTTTACAGGTTTTTGAGATTGTAAACCTGGCTAATGAGCTACTTCCCCCATTACCTCAAGGAACAATATCTCTTCCTGTTAGCGCTAATTTGTTAATAAAAGGTTCTTTAACAAAGAAGTTATCTGTTGGTGGTTCTAGCAAGCAGGAGGATGTTAAAGAGAGTACTCTGGAGGTCTCACATGAGATATCAGCCCGTGAAAAATTTCTAAATGAGCAGCCTGAATTTTTGTGTCAATTTGGAATGGATCTTCTTCCAGTTTTAATTCAGGCAAGTGTTATAGAGAACCACTGCCACTAACTATAGAGAACTACTCAGCTTAACATTCATATTTGTTGTTTTGTTAGTCTTGTATGCAGTGGTTGAAAATGGAAAGCATGTTTTATTAATAGTATTTACTTGAATATGTGATTTGAATATGTGATTCTGTGTTCTTTGCCAATCAGATATATGGATCCAGTGTCAATGGTCCTGTACGCCACAAGTGTCTCTCTGTCATCGGGAAACTCATGTACTTCAGCACTGCAGATATGATCCAGTCCTTAAATAGTGGCACTAACATATCAAGGTATGAGTTTCCATTACCTTGATAATTTGTATAAAGACCCTTTGCAGCATTTGTTCCGGTATGCTCTTTGAAATTGCTATTGACAGCAAGTTTGAATTGTTTTTTATAAGATTAGATTTATTGAAATCCAATCATTAAAGCCCAAGTGCTCAGGCCTGATGCAAGCGTTCAATTTTTGGAAATATTTAAACCCTATAGTTCTAATTTTATTTCATGCAGTTTCTTGGCCGGAGTGTTAGCTTGGAAAGATCCTCAGGTACTGGTGCCTGCCCTTCAAATTGCAGAAATATTGATGGAAAAGCTCCCAGGTTTATTTTCCAAGATATTTGTGAGAGAGGGGGTTATTCATGCGGTAAATGCACTTATAATAGATGAGGCTCATGTTGCGCTTCCTTCACAACCACCTTCCTGTGAGAAGGATAATGATTGTATAACAGGATCATCGCGTTCCAGGCGTTACCGACGTCGGGGTGGTAATTCAAATACTGATATGTGCTCTGCTGAAGGAAAAAGTTATGCTTCAAACCTCATCTCGTCTCCCAATTCAGTCGAAGTCCCTAATGCCAATTTCACTCTTCGCACAACAGTTAGTGGTTGTGCACAACATTTCAAAGAGAAGTATTTCTCTTCTGATCCTGAGTCGACTGAAGCTGGTGCAACAGACGATCTTCTGCGGTTGAAGAATCTTTGCAATAAGTTGAATGTTAGTGTTGAAAGACAGATGTCTAAATCAAAAGGAAAATCCAAAGCTTCTGCTCCTCGACTTAATGATATTTCTCCCAGCAAAGAGGATAACCTTGCCAGCCTTATTGCTGAGATGCTGGGGGAGCTCAGCAAAGGAGATGGTGTTTCAACTTTTGAGTTTATCGGTAGTGGTGTTGTGACTTCATTGCTGAACTACTTCACTTGTGGGTACTTTTCTAAGGAAAGAATTTCAAATGCTAATTTGTCTAGGCTTCGGCAACAAGCAATCAGAAGGTACAGATCTTTCATAGATGTTGCCCTTCCTCCTGGCGTTGAAGGAAATTCTGTTCCCATGGCAGTTTTGGTTCAAAAGCTTCAAAGTGCTCTTTCTTCCCTGGAGCGCTTTCCTGTTGTGTTGAGCCATACATCTAATAGAACATTGAGTGGGAGTGCACGGCTATCTTCTGGCTTGGGGGCTTTAGCCCAACCATTCAAGTTGCGCCTCTGTAGGGCGCATGGTGACAAGACTCTTCGTGATTATTCTTCAAATATAGTTTTAATTGATCCGCTAGCAAGTTTAGCAGCTGTTGAAGACTTCCTCTGGCCTCGTATACAGCGACTAGAGTCCGGGAGTCAGAAGGCATCTCTATCATCCATAAATTCCGAGGTATGTTCCATACCTGCGGTTGGCCTGATATCATCATCTTCTACTACTCCTGCTGCTCCTCGCCATTCTACCAGATCGCGATCTGTTGCTAATGTGAATGATGCCCTTAAAGACTCATTGCAAGAGAAAAACACAAGTTCATCAAAAGGAAAGGGTAAAGCGGTTCTTAAGTCTGCTCAAGAAGAGGCAAGAGGTCCGCAAACAAGAAATGCTGCTCGTAGAAGGGCTGCACTGGATAAGGAAGCACCGGCCCAACCTGCCATTGGGGATTCCAATTCTGAGGTCTGTCTGACTGCTTAATCTCATAAGTTATTCTTCTGATGTAGTTGAGTGTTCTAGTTTAGTGAGTTATGGTTATGCTTTTTGTTACCCCCTTCATTTTTCAAGTGTCATTTTAGGTTTTTGCACACATAGTAAAACCCCAACAACAACAACAACAAAAATCAAGGCTTAGCCCCAAAATATTTTGGGGCCAACTAACATGAATCGATACATGATAATGATAATAGAACCAAAAGGAAAACAAAGATAAGAAGGAAAAAAGATAAGGCATGATATAAAGGAAAGATAAGATAAAGATAAATACCCCCTTTGTCCCAATTTATTGGCAAAGTCATCATTTTTTGGTCAACCAATTTAAAGTTAAATCCCCCATATTGATAATTAATTCAATTTTTAGTAATTAAAATTTACATATTTAGAAACTACATTAAAATCTCTTCGAAGTTGCAAACTCCAAATTAAAAATTGACATCTTAATTAAGTGATTAAAATGAAACTGTTTGACCAAGAAAAGTCAATTTTGCAAATCAATTTGGGACGGAGGTAGTATAAGATAAAAGGATAAAAAAGATGATAAAGGATCAATCCGCCACACAAAGAAGCATATCGGACCTGACTTCTCTAATCTAGGATCTTCCTCTCCCTCTCCTTCCCGCCTTTTCTCCACACCTCTCAACTCATCTAATAGGTGTGTGAGTAAGTCACTCGGCCTTCTATGTGCATGTCCAAACCACTGCAATCAAGACTCTCACATCTTATTTTCTAGTATGTCCACACATCCAACGCTACATGTGCATCTCAATTACACTCGTCTTTCTAATGTGACATTGTTTCACCACCCAACGCTCTACGTCATATAGTAATGTGAGCCTAATTGCTACCCGATCAAATTTACCCTTCAGTCTAGCCGTCATCCACCCCATTTTATACTATGAGATACATCTCCATCTAGTTCACCGTCCTTCTGAATTATGGAGCCCAAGTAACAAAACATTTCTCTAATTGATATCTCTATACCATCTAGGGTAATCCCCTTCTACCTCCACCGAACTTGCACTCCATATACTCTGTCTTGCTTTGATTCAGTTTGACCCCTGTGTCCTTCAATGTTTGTCACCATACTTCCGAGTTCCGACTTTACTTTAACACCGATTGTATCTCATCAATCAATACAATATTGTCGTCAAACATCATGCACCACTATATATCGTCTTGAATTGAATTTATAAGTTCATCCATGACTATAGCCAATCCTTGGTGCACTCCGATAGTAATACCCCCAACAATTTTAACTAAAATCATCATAATAGTAGTCTAATGTGAGTAGGATACCATTCTTAATCTCTTATCATCTTACAAATATATCAGTTTTGGTTGGAGAAGGGTAATGGTGGAAATTGACCAATTAATGTGCTCTTGGAATTCTAAACTGAGGGTTAGAGACCAATTACTTGCTTTGTTCTCAACTAAACATTAGATTTTTCCCAACTTTGATCATTATTATTTTTTTACTAAAATGCAATATCAATGTAATGGTTTCTTATGGGAGAGTTTGACTTTGCACACCATGTTTCGGGTGATATGGACTTCACACCCTCATTTTCGAAATCATTAATGTGTGCACCCCATTAGCCCAAAATTTTTGAAGAGATGGGGTGCAAAGTCAAATGATTTTATAGTGAAGTGGGGTGCATACATTAATGATTTTAAAATAGGGTACAAAATCAAATATCACCCAAAAAATGGGGTGCAGGCTTGTGGAGAAAGAAGTTTTTTGTGTTCATACTTTGGCATTACGAAATAGATGCCGATTATAAATCTCTGGATGTTTGTCCATTTCTTTGTAATAGCTTTGATTGGATTTCTATTTAAAAATTTCTATGTAGCTTTGCCTATTGTACATATATTTTCCCTTGGTGCATGCTTAATGTGTGTTTTTTCACATTGGGCATCTAGGAAGATGAGCTGGTTTCTCCTGTTGACATTATTGATGATTTGGTTATTGAAGAAGATGATATGTCTGAGGAAGACGAAGACGATGATCATGACGATGTACATTTTTTGTCCTCTTCATTTCTGAAGTTCCATTACATTCTTGGGGAATGCTGATGCTGCATACATAGTATTTGAAAAACAAACATATTTTTTAGGACTTTTCTACTATGGAGCACAGCCCTAGAGTCGGGTTTTTGTTCCAGGATAGTGAGAAGTAACAGTGCAACACTGAAAATGATTTTGTAGAGTTTGGTACTTTTTTTTAATGTACCACACCTCTTTCTATGAACAGAGTACAACATGGTTCTATATGATACCCTAGACTCCCATTTTTAATATAGCTAAGAATTGGATAATGCAAGTTATGGATAGACTGTTTTGTACCACCTTAATCATCTATGACCTTGAAATATGTTCATTTTGATGAAAACTTGGAATTGCTCCATTTACCATCTGAGTAAAAGATATTGGGCCATGTCATATAACAGAGTACGGGAATTGAAGAAAAATTTATAATGTACGGTCTCGTCATATGTGATAATTGTCTATTCATAAATGCTTATGTTGTGTCTTCAAACTGAAACTACAAACAACCATATGAAACCATGGCTAGGACTAGTGGTAACTGCAAACTTTCAAAGAGACTAGTGGTATTTTTAAACTTTCATAGGGATTTGAAAATGACCGCCCTAATTAAAAGAAATGAAAAACACTGAGGATACACTAGTGGTATTCTTCATTGTATGTGAGGCGATTGTTTTCTTGGGGACTTCTACAAAAGTTGCTTTTATGTTTTTTTTTTTTTCAAATAAGCTTTAGTGATGCTTAGTGCTGATTATTATGTTAAACCTTTCAGGTTCTTAGGGATAATAGGGTTCCTGTTTGCACACCTGATAAAGTGCATGATGTTAAACTAGGGGAATCTTCAGAAGAGAGTCCGGCTGTTCACACACCAAGTGATAACAAGGCAAATGCTGCCAGTGGTTCTGGCAGCAGAGACTCTATTCGGAGGTCTCATTCTGTTGAGAACAAGGGTGGTGTGGGTTCTTTTAGCTCAAGAGGTGCAATGTCATTTGCTGCTGCTGCAATGGCAGGCCTTGGGTCCAGTACTGGTAGAGCTGTCGGGGGAAGGGACTGTCAAGGACGCTCTTTAGTAACTTCTAATGATCCTGGAAAACTTATATTTTCTGTCGGTGGGAAACAATTAAACCGCCACTTGACAATCTACCAAGCAATTCAAAGACAGCTTGTCTTGGATGAGGAGGAGGATGAAAGATACGGTGGCAATGATTTTGTACCAAGTGACGGAAGCAGGCTCTGGTCTGATATATATACTATCACATACCAAAGAATGGATAGCCAAGCCGAGAGAAGTACAAATGGTGCCGGGACTTCAACTTCCTCTAAGTCTAGAAAAGCCAGTTCACAAGCAGGTGATGTTTCCTCTCTCCAAGTGTCACTATTAGATAGTATTTTGCAGGGAGAGCTACCTTGTGATCTAGAAAGAGGAAACCCTACGTACAATATTTTAGCACTGCTACGTGTTGTCGAGAGTTTGAATCAGCTTGCACCACGGTTACATGTACAGTCAATGATTGACGATTTCTCTGAAGGAAAAATATCAAGTCTAGATGAACCCAGTGCCAACGTCGTCAGAATCTCTCCAGAGGAATTTGTCAATAGTAAGCTCACCCCAAAATTGGCTCGACAGATTCAGGATGCACTTGCACTCTGCAGTGGCTCTCTTCCATCGTGGTGTTACCAGCTGACCAAGGCTTGTCCATTTCTGTTTCCCTTTGACACTCGGCGCCAGTACTTCTATTCAACTGCCTTTGGCTTGTCTCGTGCACTGTATCGGCTTCAGCAACAAGGTGCTGATGGCTTAACGAATGAAAGAGATATAAGGTTTGGAAGATTACAGCGTCAGAAAGTCCGTGTGTCCAGAAACCGAATACTGGATTCTGCTGCCAAAGTAATGGACATGTACTCTAGCCAAAAAGCTGTTCTTGAAGTTGAGTATTTTGGTGAAGTTGGCACTGGACTGGGCCCTACCCTGGAGTTTTACACACTTTTAAGTCACGATCTACAGAAAGCAGGACTAGGGATGTGGAGGACAAATCTATTGCCCCATAAAGATGGAGTTGAGAGAAAAAATGGTGATTCTTCAGCAGGCAGTGAACAAGTCCTAGCACCACTTGGGTTATTCCCACGCCCTTGGCCACCAAGTGCTGAAACTTCTGAAGGCCAGCCATTTTTTAAGGTGATTGAGTATTTTCGGCTTCTAGGTCGTGTGATGGCTAAAGCTCTTCAGGATGGAAGGCTTTTGGACCTTCCTTTATCAACTGCGTTCTACAAGCTCATGCTTGGCCAAGTAAGCAGCTTCCATCCCCCCCCAGTTCACTTACTATGTATACTCACAGCATGTTTGCATGATCAATTACAACTGTACTTGCTTTAATGTTGCCATATCTTACTGCAGAAGCTTGATCTGTATGATATTCAGTCTTTCGATGCTGAGCTTGGAAAGTCATTGCAAGAGTTGCAAGCTCTTGTTATTCGCAAACAATATCTGGAATCAATGGGGAATGATTTTCAAGGAAAAATTACTGATTTATGTTTTCATGGGACCCCTATTGAAGATCTTTGCTTAGATTTCACTGTTCCTGGCCATCCAGAATATGTTCTGAAGTCTGGAGATGAGACAGTATGCTGTTTTGCATGAATACTTTTCTATAATTTTATTGTTTTTCCCTTGTTAGTTGTTGCATCATGTCTGCAGATGTGATTTTTCAAACTTACATTGCAGGTTGACCTAGGCAATCTGGAGGAGTACGTTTCTCTGGTGGTTGATGCTACAATAAACACTGGAATCATGCGGCAAATCGAAGCTTTTAGATCTGGTTTCAATCAGGTTTGTGGTGGTATTTTCCATCTGTAATATATTTACAATACAAACACGTATATATGCACATATAAATATACATACATGCATATGTATATATAGGGTGTGTCTGTTTCTGGTGAGAACGGTTCTTTCTCTGCCAATGACGCACTGTTAGTTCATAATGGGGCACTTCTATTTTCAAATACTGTAATTTTGGGGTAGCATAAAATGTGCAGTTCAATTTATCTATGAAATTGACACCATATTTTAATCATTTTTTGCATTGTTGGATTTCTAGAGCTCTAATAGAAGTAATGTTTTGCTTGTGGCTGTGGGATAGTGTAGTTGTTTTGTTGTTTTTTTTGTCTTTCTAGAGCTCTAAGCCCTTTAACCCAATGCACCACATCCATTCTTATTTATCTTTTAAAACGTCATTCTCAATCAAACCTATGTGTGTAAATTAGCTGAACTGAGCTTTAAATATAATGACTTTCCTGTTTGGAGAATATAGCATTACTTCATATGGGGCTTTTGCAGCCTAGTATTTTTCCGTAGTTATATTGATATTCGAGAGATAATTTGATCATTTCTTCTGTCTCAAATAATTATGAACTTTTAAGTTGAATGATGATTGGTTTAGATCGTGGTGCTATTTACACTGTTTCGTGCTTTCTGGGATTATTTTTAGATATCGCCCTTGTTTCTTTATCTGGTGCATGCCAGTATTGTGGGCTTCAAATTGATAATTTATTTTTCTTGCTTGTTCTTGATGACCAGGTTTTTGAAATTTCAACCCTACAAATATTTTCTCCAACTGAGTTGGACTATTTGCTTTGTGGACGTAGAGAGTTGTGGGAGGTAAGTAATAAATCTATTAAACAATTACTTGTACTTTCTTTTGAATGTCTTATGCCTACAAAGTTACTTGTATAAATGCAGGCTGACACTTTGGTGGATCACATCAAGTTTGATCATGGTTACAATGCCAGGAGTCCTGCAATCATAAATGTATGTATGTGTGTGTGTTTCACACATGTATGTATAATGGCTTTATTTTATGGCCATTTACTATTTTTTGCCTTTATTAATTAATTTTTTTTTTTTTGTGCAGTTGCTAGAGATCATGGGAGACTTCACTCCTGAACAACAAAGATCCTTTCTACAATTTGTTACTGGTGCTCCTCGGCTTCCTTCCGGAGGTCTGGCTGTGCTGAATCCTAAGTTGACAATCGTGAGGAAGGTACATACCTACCATTTTCTGAGAGCTGTTTTTTTTTGTTTGGCATTCTACCAACTTCTTGTGTGTGTTTGAAACAGCACTCATCGTCTGGTAATGCAACACTCAACAGTAATGGGGCGCCCGAATCGGCAGACGATGACCTTCCAAGTGTTATGACTTGTGCTAATTACTTGAAACTTCCTTCATACTCAACCAAGGTAAATTAGTTAGTTGTCATAATGACCTTCAGTGCAATGTGTCCTGAAATTGCCTGCCGACTTGGCATATCTAGTATTTTGGGCTAGCTTTGCCATCTTTCTCTGTTTTAACGTTTCTTGTAGTCTAATTAAATAAATAAATAATTGACCAGGAAATCATGTACAAGAAACTACTGTATGCCATCAATGAGGGTCAAGGATCCTTTGATCTGTCATAAAGGGCTGGGACTGGTCTAGATCTAGTCAATATTCGAAACAACTGAGCCTAGTGCATTTACTGCTCAATAAATGTTGGTATATTTCCTTATTTTGTTACTTGTTATTTAATTCACTTTCAATCACTAATGTTTATTTCATTTTATAATGCCAAAATTCCAGTGGCGGAGCAGAGAAGCTTGGAGGGTAGATATGTTTTGTGGCTAGAGAGGTGCTTTTGGTGTAGCAAGGGCTTTGTACATATGTAGAATGACATTATTTATAATATTTTGAGATAGTAGAAGAATTAGATGTATGAAGATGAAAATGTCATTTTATTTTTGCTTTTGCTCTTTTCATTTGCGGGCAAATAAAGGAAATGCTGGTCAAAGTTGCGTTTATTGCGTGAACTGTTGATAATAGATAATGCTTGAATTAGTTTGCGTGAGAAGTAACAACTGCTATCGAAAAGAAGTATGTTAAGATAATTTTAGCACTCATCCGATCAAGTATGTTTCAATGCTCCTGGGGTTGGACCCGGGTCGTTCCTGGTTCTGGGCTGAGACCGCCCAGCCCTTGAAAATATTTGATGAAGTAGTCATGGACCTGGTTCGGGCCGCCCGGCCCGGGACTGGCCCGGCCCGCTACTGTGCGGAACCGGAACCGGCCCGGTTCTCGGGTCCGGGTCGGGCCTAGGCCCGGTGGGGGGCGGGTCCGGGCTCGAGCCTTGTATTTGGCGAACCAGCCGGGTCGGGCCGAATTGATTTTTTTTTTTTCATTTTTTTCATTTTTTGGGGTTACCCGGGTTGGGCTTGATGGTTAGGAGGGGTTTGGGGGGGGGGGGGGGGGGGAGGGGTTAGGAAAGCAAAAAAAAAATATGACCAAACCGGAGGCCCGGACCCGGATCGGACCCGGTGGGCGGTGGCTACCCGGGCTGGTCCCGGGCCTTCCTTCCCAAAAAAATAGCCCGGCCGGGCCCGGAACCGGCCCGGACTGGGTCCATGACTATGATGAAGCCTGGGCCTGAATTGTTATATTCCGAGTCTCGGCCAATTCCAGGTACCCGGGCGATCTAGTGCCTGTTTTGGACTATTGACCGGGTCCCCCTTATGCTCCTATTCGTTCTGTGTATGTCATACGTAGTGTGTAATTTGCATACTATGCGTAGTCACACTAGACTTTTAGTGTGTAATTTGCATACTATGCGTAGTCACACTAGACTTTTCCGTCCTGTATGTTATGTTTGATATAGATTTATTATTGTTATTAGATTTTAATATGGTGTTGAGGTTTATTCCTTCAACCCTCAGGCCCAACACGTAAGCCCGAAGATTTCGAGTGGAGAGTGTATGAATATGTGAATATCTAGCCCAACAACTATCAGATGGCTCAGGAAGCAGAGGATATAGTAAGCAATGTAAATAGGTATTATTAACTCCGTAATAACTCCCCTAAGTACAATCTACTTACTCAAAAGGCACGTCGGCCGTTCGTCTCGCTAGGCAGTAATCTCAGCTGCGAGCAAGAGAATTAAGCTAGAATGCTAAGAATAGTAAGTTGTCAACCCTTTACAATGAAATAAATGCTTCTATTTATACCCACCAATGGGCAGGTGGCTATACTGACGTGACAGCCTGTGGACCGCTGGTGCCCCAACCACCAAATCTTCAGCATTAAATGCACTTCCTGCCAGAATCTAGGTTTCCTGCCTAATCAGTGGGGACGTTCGTCCGCCCGGGAAGTGAGTTGGATCGCCCCAAGTGACCCTCAAGAAATACCGGCTGTTCGTCCCCTGGCCTTGATGGATACTCACCATGTGGCCTGGGTTTCCTCCGATGGCTATAGGCTTGCTCTAGAGACGTACGTCGTCATCCCTGGTGGCCCGTGGTCCTGTACCTTGTCCATGCATAGACGTTCGTCGAGATGAGCCGTTGGACCTGAACCCCCAACCCCAGACGTTCTTCCCTCCTCAAGGAGCATGGGCCTGCGGGCTAGCCTTGTGTTCTAACTGGACGTGCGTCTGGTAAGAAGGGGTTAATGGGCCTGACCTCGGCTTGGGCCCTTAACCCAACATATGGTTTTAACTTTTAATCCATGCAAATATAACACCCTTTATTTTAAGTACATGTAAAATAATTTATTTGTTTGCCATCCTATAATTTGCGCTATTTTATTTTTATTCCACCTTTACTTACGGAACTACTCACAAGAAACAAATTGTCAATTTCATAAATCTACTTGAAAATTTCAATTTAACGTTTATAAGTTTTTAGGCAAATTCGAGAGTTAAAACAATACAAGACTAAGTATTTGCATTTGAAAATGTGTATTAAAATCATTCTAAAACAGTAGAATTAAATACTTTCTAAAAAACATGACAAAGAATTAGAGGAAATTAATTGATCGGAATTGTTTCATTGTCAAACAAATGTTGTTATCATTAGTGATAGATTAAAAAAGAAATTTAACACAGATTTGGGGATGAAAAATAGAAGAATAATTTTGCAAGGATTTAAAATGAAAAGTACTAAATTTGTAAGGATTAAAAACATATTTAAACCTTGTTATTATTTAGGGAGAATTACTACTACCAATATTTATATCATAATGTAATCTTGCATTTTCAAAAATCAATTAGTTACCCCTTCAATTTTGATTATTCTCACTGTTTGTCCTCATGTTATATACTAGTACATGATTAAGTTTCATATCTCTCAAATTCAACGAGAAATTGTTTACAATATCCAATTTTAAAAGCAATAATCACTTCAATAATGACTGATTGAATATTGTGTTATAATAGTTCTAGGTACTACTTAATCATTAATAAAGTCTTATTTGTTATTCATTTGGTTCAATTAGTATTGATGACGTAATTCTGTAGATTGAAAAGAAAAAATATTGAGAAACCGATATAGTTCATATTCGCGACTAATTAACATAAAACATATATTTTGATAAACCTTCAATAGTGTCAAAACAGGTTTTGAAGAGTGCAAGGTTGATTTGGTGATTTTAACTAAACATCAAGATAGTGCATACTAGTATACTACCTCTGTTTTTTGATAGGCATGTCATTGTTGAATAGTAGAGATGACAATGTGACAGGTGAGAGATAGTTATGAACACAATTCGATCCGTCCATTACTACTAACAAATAACGAGTATATATAGTTGTGGATATTCATTACTTAAATGTGTTTATTTTTAGAGTATTCAATGTTTTAAAGAGAGTAAAATGACATCATTCAAGTGCTAATGGATGTGAGGCGTCACGTAAAAACTTCGTGTACAAAGGAATAAAGAACATCTGAATTAATTTAGACTTTTAAAATATTTGAATTGAAAATATTAATTAAACAAAAGAAAATATGATAATAGGCAAATGCGACTCTTAAGATTTATTATCTGACCCAACTAGGTGAATCACTAAAGGAGATCCTTTATTTCATATATATATATATATATATATATATATATATATATATATATATATATATATATATATATATATATATATATATATATATATATATATTAATGAGGGAATTCGTTCACATACACACACAATGAAAATGACAAAAATCTCATTTTAAGGTGTGAGATCAGCCAAATGATATGATGACATAAAACCAAAATAATAAATAAAGCAGGTAACAGGCGGATATATGTATAATAAAATCTTAATTATTTATTACTTGCAGAGCCCGTTTGGTAACACTGAAATTGGCTGAATTAGCTGATTTTGCTGAAATTTATGAGTAAAATAAATAAAAAATTGTATGAAAAATAGTTAAATGGTCATTTGCATTAACTTCAGCCAATACAGCCAGAAAAGTAACTTCAACCTTACTTTTGTTATTATTGCACAACTCAGCGCGCGAAATCAAAAGTTACATTTTTGAAGAAAAAATAGCTGATAAGTCTGATAAATCTGATAAGCCGAAGTACATGGGCACTAAACAGGTTCACAAAAATAAATGATTATTCCCTATTCATTACTTTACGGGAAATTTATGTATATAAGACCAAATGATATAAAATTTCCAAAATTAAGACTACTACATGGCATATAAGATAAAAGTGGAACTACTTTGACTATTATACCCTCAATCACAAATGAGACAACACGCAACTTGAAGTCTTGAACAATTTTAAAACCCCACCCGCTATGCACAGTAAAATTTGGCAAAGAGCTGAGGAAGCCGTTGGGCTCAATGGAAACATCGCCGACTGAAAACATTCTTCAGCCTCGAAATCGCAACCTAAAAGGACGCGACAAATCAATTTGACTGCGAAGAAAACTAACGAACAAACGGCAAAGAGAAAGACAAAATTGGAGTAGAAGAAAGTTGAAAATAGGAAGAAGCCTAGCAAAGACAATACCAGAGACCGAATTGATCGATTTCCAGAAATAGGAAAAGAAAGAATTAATGAACGAAAAGTGTCAATATCTGAGAAATATTATATCTAAGTCAGTCATTAATTATAACACGAGTCACTAAATAGACAATATGGAGATACTAAATATTTAGAAAAATAGTTGACATTTGGAAATTAAATGTAAACAACAACAAATACAAAATAACATATGTAAAGATCAATAAATTCAATGACAGTAAAATTATTGATAACAACCTCTATGAATGAATTCTTCTTTGAACCTTGTCCATTAAATATTCATGACAAAAAAATACATGTGGGAATAAACACTTGTGAAGTATAAAGCTTCATACAAAACAGAAAATGTAAAATCCGAAACATCTACGTTAAGATTTAGAAACTGATATAGGGTTCCAATAAAATTTCTTGTTGTAATCAGACTGGTCACCTTTCTTGCACCGACCGAGAAAAACGCCAATAAGATGAAAATTGACCAGTTGAGGATCTGCTCTTCATTTTGAGTCTACTAGGTGGGCGTGTCAAAGCAGATTGATGGTTTTTATACAATTGATCTGAGATGGAATGTCCAATCTAATTGAGAATCAATAGCGTGCATCTCTTCACTATGTGTCATAACTCACACATGAGTGAAATAATTGTTAAATTTAGTTATAGCATGGTAAGTCTCGATGGTGACCGACCGCTGCAATCCCATGTAACCATATCACGACAGTCCTAGACGTTGACCCACAGTTCCAATGCCATAAACATACTTTATCTTTGAGATGAACAACAATACTTAGTTTTTAGATATTTAGCCCAACACCTCAAACTTAAACAGAGTAGGAGGCTTAATCAAACACATACAACACACACAAGATCAAAACATTACAAGTACAAAGTGAATGTAGAGTATGAAAACAATAGAAGAAGAAATGTCATTTGGAACATACACTTCTCTATATGCATTTGTATATCCGTGTTTGATGATATCAGCAACTCCATCTATTGTGTCTTGATGATTGGAGACCTTGTTTGACATTAAGAGAGCATAACAACCAAAATCAAACTTGCAAAATAATATACATTACATAGGCATTAAGTAGCCAATAAGTT